CTTGCTCGCCGCTCCCCTGGGCCGCTGGGCTCACCTGTCAGCCGCCAACACACGCTCCTGTTTTGCTCCAAACAAACTCGCGCTTCCTACCTGGTTCACCCCAAACGGAGACCGGAGGTTCAGCGCCACAAACATATGCGAATAACCCAAACACCAGAGAGCCTTAAATTAAAAAGAAATGACAAAATAGGAAAAGTTGTGAAAACCTGGTGAAATGTGAGCGTTAGCCGACGCTTCAAGGATCGGATTATCCAGGTCGCTGTGGGACATCTGACCGCTAATTCAAGATCTCGGGGCGACTCCTTGGGGATCTTAAACCTCAGGCTTGTCCGTAACCCATAATGTCCCTCTACCCCCCCGCAAGACTTTTCGTTCATCCCCTGACTCTATCAGTTACATATTTTACCTATTTCCCCTAAGAATCTGCTGATGAATTAAGTGAATATGTGTTAGATATTGCTGAAAGCATTATAATTAACTTAGTAAAGTATAACTTTTATTTAAAAGTTAATTTAAACTAGAACATAAACATTAAATGATGTTTTCTGAAGTTAATTTCTCGTGACTGTCTACAAAGACATTTTAATATGGACATTTCTTTCGCGACAAATACCACATGATCCAACTTATGTGTGGAATTTAATGAACAAAATAGACAGCCCTCAGAGGAGGTGGGTAGGGGAGACTGGATGAAAGAAAGTGAAGGGATTTAGCCAAAGAACATGTATGCATAACCCAGGGACACAGACTATAGCGTGGTGATGGCCAGGCTGAAGGGGGAGCCGGGGAGGAGGTGGGCAAAGGGGGTTGGGGGGACGGGGACATCTGTAATAGTGTCAACATAAAAATAAAGTTAAAAAAATTTTTTTGAGTCAACATTTTGATTTTAGTAGAATTCTTGATTCTCATCTCTGAATAACCTCTAATTATGTATTGCATATTAATTTCAGATGGCAAAAACAAATTAAAATGTCATTTTCCATTGTCATTACAAATTGAACCTTGTAACCAGAATAATACTTATATCTAATTATATAGTTAATAAGTTGCAAAATAATTTTTTTTATTGATTGATTTTAGACAGAGGCAGGGAGAGGAGGAGAAAGAAAGAAACATCTATTTGTTGTTCCACTTATTTATGCATTCATTGGTTGATTCTTCTATGTACCCTGACTGGGGATTGAACCTGAAACCTTGGCCAGAGCCTCTGTTAACATATGTTCAGTATTTATATTAGATAGTGAACATATTTGTAATAGTAGTTTTAACATTGTCCTGCTTCTTTACATGTCTAGTAATTTTTGATTGGATGATCAACACTGATTTTTATGTTGTTGAGATCTGGATTATTATTATTATTACTATTTTTTACTACTTTAAAGAGTATTGACCTTTTTCTCTTGAATGCAGTTAAATTACTTAAAAATAAGTTTGATCCTTTAGTTTAAAGGCATTTTAAAGCTGTCTTAGGGCAAGTCTAAATAGCCTTAACTCTAGGGTTAATTAAGGCCCACTACTAAGGGTTGTCAAGGCATTGCGTTCCCTGCGGAAAGCCTCATGTATTTCATAAGCACTGAACTTGAACACGTGCCAGTTCTGTGTCATCTTTAGGAATGGTTAAGCTAACAGCTCCAGGAATGGTACTTTCCCTGGCCCGATGGGGTTTGACTCCGTGCAAGTGCTGACTGGTATGCAATCACAGATTTAAGAAGACTCCTTTACCTATTTCGGGAGCTCTTTCTCTGCATCCCTCCATCATCCTCAGGACCATGCCACACAGATTGTAGGTGCTGCAGTTCTGAACTCTGATCTCTGGCCAACTCAGTGAGACTACCACGCTCTGTTTGGTTTTCCCCTGCAATTACAGACTTGGGGAGATTAAAGAATTTAACTCCTTTGTTTCCTTTTCCTCGGGGATCATAGGTGGCAGTGCTGTAATGCTCTTCTGCTGTAGAAAGTGTCGGGAAAAATATAAAAAAAATTACACATTTTATGTTCTATAACAGACAGTTTACCATTATTTGTAATGTTCTTCCAAGTTGCTAACAAAATTTAATACAAAATAGGAGAAGTTGATGGGAAGACAATTCGGGGAACTTCTCAGTCTGTGAAAAAGCCTTACTGTATTTTACTCTACGTAAATTCATCATAGTTCTCATATACTGAGTGCCATTTTAAAGTCTCAGAAGGAAAGGGGGCTTTATGTTATTATTTTCCTTTAATGGTCTTTTGACTTTAAGAACAGAGACAAGCAATAAAACTAGTGAAGATGGGATGTCCTAAAGAAAGATTAGGTGCATTTAGTCAAAGTAGCTGTGGTTATATGGAATCAGGTGGGCCAACGCTGGGGCCTTGAATGCAGAAAGGTGACATTTCAGAAGGAGAAGAGAGTCAATTAAATGACTTTTTGTTACTTTTTTAAAAAGTTACAATTTGAGCCCTGGTAGGGTAGCTCAGTTGGTTAGAGCGTCGTCCCCTTATGCCAAGGTTGCATGATCCCTGGTCAGGCCACGTACAAGGAGCAACCAGTACAAGCATGAATAAGTGGAACAACAAAGCTATGTCTGTCTCTCCCTTCCTCTTCCTCTCTTTCTAAAGTCAATTGAAAATTTTTAAGTTAAAATTTGAAAGAAAGGAAAACATTAAGACCCCAGACAGAAATAGCAATGTAAGGAGCAGAAGATTTCTGGGTCCTAGGAAGAAAGGAGATGAGGGCTGCACATATGTTAGCATTTCTGCTCTCCATGTTGAAAAAACAGAGATGGGGGTTGGATTACAAACTTGCCAAAGTTCTCTAATATATTTTGTACCTCAACGCTCTGGGGTTTTAAAATGTTTATCACCCTAAATATAAATACTACAAATATGAACTAGGTGCTAAGGAAGGGCTTCTTTTTGGCCTTCTTTAAAGATTAGATAAGACCCAGAAATCAGCATACTAGTTAATTTTACACAAATAAAAGGTTCAAACACAGTTAAGCATAATTTTAATTCTTAAATAGTTTTTTTCAGGAATTTTTAATAATGCTTTTATCTCTATCACATCCTTTAAAAAGATACGGTAGAGTAAATGTCAGATCAGTCATGTAGAATAAGTTGATACTTTTTACAATGGACTTCAATAATATTCTTAAAGTAAATATTTCCACTGGGCCACATACATTATAAAGGTAATAAATTTTAGTTTATGATTTATGATTTATCAAGTATTTTTGTGTATATTTGATGATTTAGACTTGGTTTTTGCTGTTTAAAAAGCTCTAACATTTTTGTTTTGTACAAAGACAGAGACAACATTCATTTACATTTATGCTTTTTAATTTTAGAAACAAAAACCAAGAAATGCCTCATTCCACAAACAAAGAACTGATACTTGGCATCATGGTGGGAACTACTGGAATCAGTTTGCTTCTTTTGTGGTACCACAAGGTTTGTAAACCAAGGACAGCAATGAATTTACCTAAATTTCTTTCTCTGGGCAATGCATTTGATTTGGTGACTTCACAAGATGAGATGCAGAATGACCAAGGAACAGCAGCGATCTATCAAGGAAGGCAGCTTCAGATACTGGAGAAGTTAAACGAATTACTGACAAATATGGAAGAACTCAGAGAGGAAATCAGAATTCTTAAAGAAACCATTCCAAAGCTGGAGGAATGTGTATGTGGTGAACTTGGAGGAAAGACAACTGCTCATAGGATTAGTCCTCAGCACAGATCTAGGAAAAGAAGGCTTGCCACAGTTCAAAGTTCAGGAACAAGCAATAGTTCAGAGGAAGCGGAAAGTGAAGGAGGGTAAGCTTCCTTAAGATGTTTTCCATGTTAAATTGCTTATTGATTGCATTATTGCTATTATTTAGGTACTTTCATTATGCATTATGGAGGATAAAGTTTCTTTAAGATATTTTCCATGTTGAATTGATTATTGATTGCATTATTGCTATTATTTAGGTACTTTCATTATGCCTTCCCAGTCATATATAGGGGTGGGCAAAAGTAGGTAAAAAATAATAAATAATACAATAATTAACAAATAATATAAGAATAAAATTTTTTGCATACTCACTGTATTCTGCTACAAACAAGATATAAAAGAAAGTGATTATTTTGGCTTATATTACAATTAAAACTATATTCAATAGAGGTCAGTATTTAAGTTAGGGTAGACCACATTGAATAAAATAATATAAGTAACTTACTACTGCTAGGTGGTAGCATGTTCGTATTGAAGAAGACAGTATTTGTTTGCTAAAATTTGTAACCTATTTTCATATGTAGCTCCTTATATAAGAACTAGAGCCCGGTGCACAAAATTTGTGCACTGGAGGGGAGGGGTACCTCAGCCCAGCCTGCACCCTGTTGCAGTCCGGGACCTCTCAGAGGATGTTCGGGACCCCTCACTTCTTACCGCCTGCCTGCTCGTTGCTCCTTACCACACGGCTCGCTACTCCTTAGTGCTGCCACGGAGGCGGGAGAGGCTCCCGCCACGCCGCTGTGCTCACCAGCCATGAACCCTGCTTCTGGCTGAGCAGTGCTCCTCCTGTGGGAGTGCACTGACCACCAGGGGGCAGCTCCTGCATTGAGCATCTGCCCACTGGTGGTCAGTGCGCATCATAGCGACCAGTCATTCTGGTCATTCTACACTAATGGTTGCTTAGGCTTTTATTATATAGACTAGAGGCCCAGTGCACAAAAATTTGTGCGCTGGCGGTGGGGGGGTGTCCCTCAGCCCCATTTGTGCCCTCTCACAGTCTGGGACCCCTTGGGAGATAACGACCTGCTGGCTTAGGCCCGCTCCCAGGTGGCGGAGGGCAGGCCCAATCCCTAGGTGCAGCCCCTGGTCGGGCTCAGAGCAGGGCCTATTGGGGAGCTGGGGCGCTGCCCCCTGTCATGCACAGAGCAGGGCGGATTGGGAGGTTGCGATGCCACCCCCAGTCACGCTCAGGGTAGAGCCGATTGGGGGGTTGGGGCACCGCCCCCTGTCACACTGAAGGCAGGGTCGATGGGAGGTTGTGGCGCCACCCCCTGTTATGCACAGAGCAGGGCCAATCAGGGGGTTGGGGCACTCCCCCCTGTCACACTCAGGGCAGGGCCGATGGGGAGGTTGCGGCTCCACCCCGTCACACACAGAGCAGGGCCCATGGGGGGGTTGGGGCGCCTTCCCCTGTCACGAACAGAGCAGGGCGGATAGGGAGGTTGTGGCCCTGCCCCCTGTCACACACAGAGCCGCAGGGCGATCAGGGGGTTTGGGCGCTGCCCCCTGTCACGCTGATCCCGGTGCC